CCCCGCGTGCTTCCTCTGCGGGCCGGCGGCCGCGCGCGGGGTTTAGCTCATGTGGAAGCGGTGCTCGCCCCGGGTGATGTGGGACGAGAACTCGTAGCGGTCCTGGCTGTGGTAGCCGCACATGTTGCACTCAAAAGGATCACGGAAGCCGTGACAGCCCATGTGGATGGTGTACATGACGTGGTCCAGGAAGAGCACCCTGCAGTGTTCGCACTTGTACACCTTCATGGGCTCCCCGCCCGCGCCGATCACGCGGCAGGCGTCCTGGGAGCCGTCGGAGGCCGCCCGCAGCACGTCGTAGGCTGCGTGCTCCTCCTTGATGGACAGGCCGTTGCGCGCGTGGGGCGTGATGTGGTTGGTCAGGTAGATGAGGCCGCCCCGCTGCTCCTCGGCGTTGCTCTCGGTGTCCGTCGAGTCTTGGCAGCTGTTGTTCGGGGACGCCTCCCTCTCGGAGGACACGGACTTGGCCTTGGAGAGCAGCAGCAGGTTCTCCACGGCGCTGTCCTGGGCCGCGTGGTTGGACCTCGGGGGGCCCTCCGCGTGGGGCTTGTGGAGCTGGTACATGGGGCTGATGCCCGGGACGACCTCCGAGCTGCCCGGGGGCGTCTGCACCAGCGGGCGCAGGGACTCGGCCCCCAGGTAGCTGATGGCGTTGTTGATGGCTTGGTCCATCACGTGGGTCTGCATCATCTCGTTTTCCTTCTCGTAGCTGGCGCCGCCGTCGTAGGGCATGTCCGACAGACACTTGTCCCCTGTGGGAGGCAGGCGACAGTCAGTGAGGCCACGTTACCTCTGCGCACCACGGGGGTGGCTGAGATCTACAGCAAGGCCCCCCCCCCCCACACATCTGGGTGTCCTGGTGCTCAGGGGGACGGTGACTCAGACACCTCCCAGATGGACAAGGTGGAGGCCTGTCTGTGGTCACCCAGCTCAGGGCCCTGCTTGGAGTCAGCCCTTAAACGCACCCGACCCACCACACGAACCCATGCATCCAAGTCGGCGCATGTCAACAGAAACAGCAGAAACCGTCCAACTAAATACTAAACCAGCACTTGGGTCTTTTACTATGAACGTCACCATATTCAGTTTAAGATGAAAACTTAAATGACGTATTTTCGATATAGTGTTCTAAGTGACTTGCAATAGCTGGTTAATTTCTCATAAATTTATGTAATTACCATACACGAGTGTATCATTATTCACGAGCGTGTGCGATATGCTTGCTTAAAACAGTGTTATGGGACGGGGTTCTGAATTCATAACTTCAATACTCAGAATAAAATTTGATCAAAAGGTAAGAGTTCTGGTAAGATCTATAGAAAGCTGACTTCTGGCTCGGAGAGGAAATGGACGCTCAGAGTCCGGTGTCCACATCCTCCCCAGTCCCGGTTCCACTCGCCTGTCCGTCACTGGCAGGACTAGAGCCCTGTGCCACATGGGTATGTGCGGGGAAGCTGGGCACACAGCAGGAAGTAAAGGGGAGGGGGTGTGCCATTCGCCTGTTCTTTCCAAAAATTTCCGACCATGAACGATGCTCAAGGAACCTGCCGAGGACTCTGGGTGTGCGAGTGTCCCCTCAAGAAACTTCCAGTCTGAGAGCGAGCTCGCTCCTCAGGGATGGCGAACCCTGAGATGAGCTTGGGCTTCTGAGCAAACATTATCATGAAGAACTAAAACGAACTGCCTTGAAGATGCACCTTCTCGACACACTGGTTATAGGTTCAGTACGAAACCGTGGCATAATGAGCAAAGTCGCTGTCTGCACTCTGTCAGGGCTACTGATTTGCTTCCCGTTTGCGTGCAGATTTATGGATAAATCAAAGCACCGGAGGCATGCCTGAGTTGTTTACATTTTACCCCTCACTCTGTTTCTTTTCTTCCTCCAACACGTTTATGCTGAGCATTGAGTGTCTACTGGACCGGACAGGAGGGGCAGACAGGGGAGCTAGTAAAAAGGGTCCCCGTCCTCAACAGCTAACAGGGGACACAGATATTAAAACACGGCTGCAAAAATGGTGTATCCCAGGCAGAGAAGTTCTAGGAAGCAAATAGAAGGCTTGGGTCCTGAGGGCTTCTGACCTAGAATTGGCCGGGTGAGCGGGGCTCTTGTCCTACACGGGGGGGCAGCAGCCAGGGGTCCTGGCCAGAGCCTGGGTGTGGGGCAGGGTGGGGGCGGTATCTACCAATCAGAGGCTTTGTCTAGAAGAAAATGAGAAGCCCCTGAAGGGTCTGAAGGAAGGGCCCTTCTCAGTAATGGGCAGGAGTACAGGTTGTGAGGGGCAAAGGTAAGTGAACTCAGAGACTCCCTTAAGAGCCCAGGGAATGGCTACTGATGGCCCGTGAGGGCGGTGGCGGGGGAGGATCCCACACCTCCCACACTGACACCTGACATCAAGGTCTCCTGCTCATTCTTAGCAACAGGACAATAAGCCACTTGGTAGTTCAAAACCTTAACTAATCTTTCTTAAAAACATTTTCTGACCGCGGATGATTGTCCAGGGATATCCCCCATCATGCTGTAGAGTATCTTGGGGTCTCATTTCTTGCTTGCAAAAGAGACTTATCATAAAACAGCCCGCCTGCATTCATTCTAATGTACTGGCGGTCAGGAGAGACACTTGGCCTGATCATGGTGAAGTGTGATCCTCAGATTACAGAAGGAAAATTTGCTGGTGGCTGGTCACACCCTCTGCAGAAACTGAATAGAATGGATGGAATCTCTCCACAAGGTGGGCGGGAGGGAACACGGAAGTGGTGTTTATGCTCATTAAAAGTTAGAAGAAATAACTTGATAGCATTGTTGAATCACGTTTTGAGGTCTTTGTGTTGAGGTGCTAAATATCTTCTTGGTCTAATTCTAGAACAGAATGGATCCATTCTGGCTTATGCGCCCCCATCTGTCCCTCTACCAAACCCTGGTAGGGACAAGATGGGGCATAGACTTTGAGGCCAATTCAGATACATATCGAAGTGCTTATAGCCCCATCAAAAATGGTGCTTTCCCGCCTAATCATCCTGTTTCTGCCCAAAGTTGTGGCTCTTTGGTTTCCCAGGCAACCACTGAAATCCATTGTTTTTAAAACTTGGTCTTAACAACAAATGGATGTAGGAAAAAACCCATATATTTCAGATTACTGTGGCATATTGAAACTATCCACAAAATTTCTCTTCCCTAATACTCCACAAAGTGAGAAAAAGAAAAACCCACGCAGTTCACTTTGGCAATGAGCTAAATAAAAAAACACATTCTAATGAAACACATAGTTTCAAAAAAAATCAAGGAGCAAGGAAAGAAAATTCTGGCATGAGACATACAGTAAAGGGTGGCCGCTGATCTCACTTCTAAAAACCTCAAGTGTGAGTCAACGAAGTCCTCAGGGTTCTCCCTAATATCCTCTTTTCTGTAGGGAGCCAATTCAAATACACATCCTCTTCCATTTCTGATCCCACAGCAGTGGAAACCTCTGCTAGCAAGAACCAGGTGAGTGTGAGGTTGGCTCTCTCGATAGGAGTGAGGTCTTCTAGGCTGTAGCTGAGGGGAAATGGCCCTAAGCCCCTAGTGTCCTCCTGTGGGGCTGGGAATCATGCTCCAGCCAGGTACAGTGGTAGCTGGTTTAGGGCATTTGACCAAATCTCAGAATGAGAGAGAGAGAGAGAGAGCACATAGAAAGTCTTTAAACAAAGACTGCACTTTGCCTCACCTGAATTCCTCCTTCCCCCCTATCCTTGGCATTCTTTCAGGATTTAGAAAAGTCGATAGCTCTCACAGGAAAAAAAAAGCCTCACACAGAGTGGGAAAAATGTCCAAACGTCAATCAAGTTCTATCAGCCCAAAGAGAATAAGCAAGTGACAAGAAATGTCATGATCACCATGAAAATACTTTCTAGCAACTCAAGGGAGGAAAGGAAGTAAAACAGACCAATAAGCCCATCCTAGGAAAAAAGCTCAACCCAAGGAAGAGAGGAAATGTGTCAAAATTACTTTGTGAGATGGACTCCATAAAAAAAAGCGCTGAAAGACAGCATGCTAAAACAACAGAAAAGAGGTGAAAAAAGGTTTCAGATCTCAAGAAACAAAATGAGGTCCATTTATCACAGAATTAATCCATGGATTAGAAGCAGTAACAGAACATAACCTACTAAAAATGGAATGACTGACAGAGGAAAAACACAAGATAATAAGTGTGAAAAAATGTGAAAAAAAAGACAAAAAATAAACTGAAGGAAATGCTAACAGATATGGAGAACAAATTATCCAACATAAGGACAACTGGTATCCCTGGCCGAGATCGCAACAGATGGAAAAAAAAAAAGATGTCTACAAGGAAGATTATTTCTCAGAAATAGAAAACAGGGGACTCCCCAGATTAAAATGGCAGGAAAGTTTTTATTCAGAATGCAAAATACCAAGACACATCCTAGTCAGGCTATTTACCTTTTAGACTATTTAACTTAAAGAACTCTTCAGGTGTTCAGAAAGAAAATGGAAGTCACCTTTAAGAAATAAATCTCAGGGGCGCCTGGGTGGCGCAGTCGGTTAAGCGTCCAACTTCAGCCAGGTCACGATCTCACGGTCCGTGAGTTCAAGCCCCGCGTCAGGCTCTGGGCTGATGGCTCGGAGCCTGGAGCCTGTTTCCGATTCTGTGTCTCCCTCTCTCTCTGCCCCTCCCCCGTTCATGCTCTGTCTCTGTCTGTCCCATAAATAAATAAAAACGTTGAAAAAAAAATTAAAAAAAAAAAAAAAAAGAAAGAAATCTCAGACTGGCCTTAGACATCTTCACGGCAACATTCAACTAAGCAATGCCATCATGGCACCACACATGGTCAAGACAGAAAGGCAACAGACAGACAACCTCAAACACATGGCAACTATGGAAATGGAGCATCTATAGGACCTCCTTGAAAAAAAAAAAGTTGCTTGAAAGTTAAGTCCAATCAGTCAAGTGATTAATCACAATAAATAGACTGAGTTGGGGCTTTGAATCTGTTTAAAGAGAGAGTTAACGAAAAGTAGCTAAACTTCTGTGAGAATTAGGATTATGGGAATAAAATGTGACTATTAGGAAGCAGGACGATGTAAAAATAATATAATTGAACACTGGGGAGTAAAATCGTGTCTTTATTTCCCAAAGCTGTGAGTCAGGAGATACTGCGTAAATGGAAGCAAATGGGTTAAAAACCCGATGAAGCTCATGTTTTTCATGGTGCAGTGTATCTTTTTAATCTTAGATTAAATCCTCTAAAAATATCTTTCTGTGAGAAAATGTTCATTTGAAGATTGGCTATGCCTCCAGTTTTATTGGGTTCTTGTTCACCTCTTAAATTTAAGACATCCATACAAATGCTATTTGCATTTTGAAGTAGCATGTGTGATATGACAGAATCTTTACGGAAGTATTTATTCCACACCTGTCTGTCAATACACCTGTTCATCACCCTAGCCCCTCACATACATACATATGGATAAAAAGACTTTTAGAATAATGCTCAGCTACTCTTAATATTGGCAATTTCTGGATGTTGGGTTTTTGGGGTGATTTGAAAACATTCATCTTTGCCTTAAAAGTCTTTATATTAACCATGTGTCACTTTCATAATGCAACATGGTTGTTTTTTACTTCCAGAGAAAAGAAACTATACCAAGATAGTTATAACGGGTAGAGAAAATGTTAATTATTGTTATGCTCCCCTACTTCCTCTCCTGTATTTAAAAAACTTCCCCAATCACCAAACAGATGAAGAACACAGCCTTGCTGTGTAACGTGACCGTCCCCTTTCTGATGGGGCTTCATCAATCCTGTTGGCTTCTATCTGATTATCCCAGGGGATGAGATCTTTGGTGACACAATGGTGAACAATGTTCCTTGCAGAGTAAGTACTTACACTCAGGCCAAAACTCAAGGAAAAACTTTTAACCATAGATCCCGTATCCATTAAGCAAAATTATGGGTCATTCGGAGCAATGTCCCTGTGAAAATCATGGCATCTTACAATTTTAAGGTGCTTTCTCAAGTTTTGATCTTTTGATCAAAAGATCAAGGGATCTGATCATCCCTTTTGATCTTCAGACTGGCACTGGGAGGGATGCAGGGTAGGAGGCATCACGCCCATTTCACAGATGGGGACACTGAGTCCAGGGATGTGCTCAAAGTTGCCAGCCAGTCACAGCTGGAGCTGGACCCTGTCCCCAGGTCTCTTGAATGTCAACCGGGAGGTCTTTTGACTGCACCACCACTGGCCCGTGTGTATGATAACGAATGATAAGAACCGCACTCCTACACACTTCAAGAATTCATATAAAGGATAAACTCAGCATCTAGAAGTTAAGAGGGACCCTAGAGACCCATCTTTTTCTTTTCTTTTCTTTTCTTTTCTTTTCTTTTCTTTT